CATTGTGGGCAAATTTGTGTATCTTAGTGGGATGGCCAAAATAGTACAATGTATTTTATGATGAAAGATATACAGTAATTAGGGTGGAATGGTGGCACAGTGGTTAGCATTGCTTTCTTGTAGTGCTGAGGCCCTGGGTTGAATTCCAGACCTGGGATGCTATCTGCAGAGATTTTGTATATTCTCCCATTTGTACATGGGTTTCTTCCAGGTGCTCCGGTTTTCTCTTCAGGGATATACAGTATTATCATTTCTATTAAATTCTGGGAAAATCTGCCTTAGTGTTAGTGTGTGCGTTTGTGTCTGTCTGCCCTGCAATGGACTGGCTTCTCATCCAGGATGTACCCTGCTTTCTTCTCGTTGTTTGTTGGGATAGGTTCCAGTTCCCTTGTAACTTGTCAATTAGATGAAGCCATCAGAAAATGGATGGATTTATTCAAATACATATTTTTATATCATAAAACCTAATGTTGTAATTTTTTAGACCCAGAATGATACAATTTCTCTTATTTGATGGAAGAGGGGCATTTGTCACACTGTAAGACTAATAAAACTAATTGGCTGTTAAACACTTATACTATTCACATCCACCATATAAGAACAGAGGCAGCTGAGCTACTGTATCAGACAAGCACGCTCCATGGTTTTATATTAAAGATTAGGAAGGTTTTAAAGAACTACCAGTGAAACATAATGTTGTGTTATAAAAATGAAATTGTGGAAACTATACTTCTCAACAAAAGGACGGCATTTTAAATTCTAGACCAGATAATTTTGTTCCTTCAAAATATAATTTTGGTTAGAATATAGTTGAATTGTAATGTAAAACCTAATTGTGATGTTTTATGTACAGTATGATTTTTAAGTGATTTATTCTTGTATATTCATTTGCTTTTTAAATTGCATTTTTAAAATTCATTTTACTACTTTATTAAATAAAAATATTAATAAATCAAATTTTAAACACACTAAAAAATGTCATTATGCAGATCTTGAGTAAATCATCCTACAGTACTTGTATCAACCACAGAAGCACAGAATGAATCAAAGTAGAAGGAAGAAAAAAACAGGCTTTTTAAAGCCTTTAAGGGCTTTACTGATAAAAAAGTGTTTTTTCCCCTTTCTAAATTTGAGCATTGAATAAACGTCTGCTTGTTCCTTTGCAGCTTGCATTTTTTCACACTCCTCACTCAACTACAGTATTGGACAATTTTAACCTAAAAAAATGAACTAGTAATGTTTTGTGTGTAAGCTACCACCAACCAAGCGCTGTAATGCACTACTGTATGTATTATTTTCACAACAATTTGACAGTCATACAGTACATCATTGATTAACCATTACTGGTTACAAGCATCATTAATGATATGGTTATATTAATCCTTTTTTTTTCCTTATGTAAATGTTTTTGTAAGGCATTGAATACCATGGTGAAAAAAATGAACAATTAAAGTGGTTTTGTGAAATGCTCATGGTGTCGAATATTTAATAAACACACATACAACCAATATATATATATAACAGATCCAAAGGTAATATTGCTTACAACATCTTCTCAAAGTGACTTAACCTTTTTGTTATAAATATAAAATTTATCCTAATGCTTAACTTGAGAAAAAGACCATTTTGATGGTAGACTGAATAAGAACAAAAAAGATTTTCACTATAGACAATAAAAATCCACAATATATTAATCAGGCAACAACAATCAATAAACTACATTAGGCCATTCTGGATCTCTTCATCTACAAAGATTTTTTAACGAGTTAAACTTCACAAATATGTCAAGATAGAAACATTATAGGGAACAGTAAAATACATTTCTTGAACTTGTAGGAAAACTAGAAAAAAAGGCATGGAGCAGTGTAGTTCAGAAAAAAAAACAATGAAATAAATGTAATGCTCAAGTTTTCCTATTAATTAAAAAAATTATGTTCGGAAGTAACTGACAAGACTTCAGTGCAGATCTTCTCCTTGAAAGGAGAGGTATCCATAGTACCTTGGTTAACACTATTGTTTCTTATGAAGTGAACATCAACCAGAATTAAAAAAAAAATCAGATAATATAAGAATGTCTCCAAGCCGCAGTCAGGACGTTTATCAAGGGGCAAAAGGTAAAAACGTATAAATCCATAAACAAGCATACAGTAGACCAAGAAAATAAAATATCTGTCTAGAATCCTGAAATCTCAAAGGGTGACATCTCCATTCTTTGTTTTTAAAAGGAGTAGACTCGACACGTTTTAAACAGTTGTCTGTAAAGAAAAAATAAAAGATCGAATTTAAAATCTTTGAAACAGGAAACACATTTACTAACCATTATCTTGTATACAATTAAAAATTCACTAACGTGAATCCCCAGCCCTTTCATATGTTTCATAACCTGTTACCATATGTGCTGAACTCACTTCATAGTCCATCTTATGTGTGTATTAACTCAACAATGATTAAAGCATGCACCTATCTCATCTCTGGAGCAGAATGATTTGCTCACAGGGTGGCATGCAAAATGCTTTCACAACTCCTTGTATTACTGTTTTGTTTGGACAAAAAATAAGTAATTCAAAGAGAAGTAGGTATAAAAAAACTCAATATGGGGCTCATGTCTAGATTTCAATATAAATTCTATTGTCACAATTTGTGGTCATATTCACATAAAATTCTGGGAAGTATTTCTTCACTCTCTGAATGCAAAGCAGCATACTGACAGTACTAAAACCCTTTCCCCCAAAGCCTGCAACGGCAATTCATCCTCTTTGGGGATTGGTTTTACACTAAGCAAAGAAAAAAGGTAATAAACAAGTTTATGTTATACTCAACTGACAGAAAAAAAAAATCTTTCAATATATTTCAAAATGTTTGAGTAAACAGTTTGCGGTTTCAACTGAAAAGAGCACCACTGTTAAGCACCACATGATCATCAAATAAAGCAGAATGAACTCGCTTTCCCTAGCCAGGTTTCTAAGTGGATACATTTTGTAAATGCACTGAAATTCTATCCATGTGACCTGAATTTTAACAGACGTGAAATCTGATGGTATCGAGTACTGTGATCTAAAAGAGGATAGATCTATACACTTTCATTATTCCACTTTAAAATCCTCTCCTAGACTAAAAAAGTCAGAAGAGTAAAAAAGTCAGAAGAGAGAGTACTTTAAACTGAATCAAGATGGGGAAAAAAAAGACAAGTGACGCCTACAAATACATGCATTACCAGTGATATTTCAGACTGAAAGCAAGCCTGAAGTGAAATGATGGAGGTTTCGTTAACAACGAAACTCCGGCTCCAAGAGAAACTCCAGCTAAACAACTGAGCGAGCTTTTGTGTGACATGGTATTCGTGCATGTAAAATACAATACATCCTGAGAGTAGCTCTGAAGAAAAGGAAAAGCTCCTTCTTCCAGCCACCATGCATAAGTAGATAAATGTAATAACTGACTAACTACAACATTTTGTGGATGACTGCTTTCGAAGTGCTTTTTAATGGTGCAGTCACAAGAGATATGAAATATTTAGCACAAAGCCATTCTGGAGCTTTATTCACTGTACCAAACTAAAACCCCAAAAAGTAAAATAAATTTAGTAAATGCTGATTTACAGTATATCCTTCAAGATTCTGATTTCATATATGTACAGTAAAAATGAATGGCTTTGTGCTTTTAGGAGGTTTTAGAATGTTTCAGAATAAATTGTCACTCATGAAGCTTATAGTGTAGTGGCAATTGGCTTTTAGAATGGCTTTGAAGCACTTTCAGTTTTTAGTGACTATATGACCTTCCAAACACACAAGTACCCTCACTTTCCATAGGCTATTTTCAAAATGTAGAAATGCTGATGTACGTAGATATTTTCTAGATACTATTGTTTGTTGTTCATTTGCATAGCAAACAACAGTATCAAAAGTTATTTACCAAACAGAAAATCTACATTAAGTGTACAGTAAGTATCAGGAACAGTGGCACAGGTATAGTGAGGTAAACAGTAAACCAATAAAATGCTAACAGGACTATCATAAACTGGAAGAGTAACATAAACATAGTGCAAACGAAATGAAGACTGAAATGGTATAAAGATTATGTGAATATAAAGCAGCAACGCAGACAGGAGGCAGTGTTGAGCACGTGTGCTCAAAGGTCCTCATTAAAGTGGTGTGCCACCGGCTTTTCAGTCTGTAGCATGACTGATTATTGGTGATTCCAAAGTAGGTTTGTTATGAAATATAACACAGTAGCAATTCAATAATTAAACAAGAGAGAGTTAAAAAAGGATCATCTTAAATTACAAATGGTAGTGTGGTCCTGTAATAGCAAACCCCGTCATAGAAGGAAAGATAATGGTGGTGGAACTGGTTATGCAAGAGAGTCAAGGGAAATGTAAAAAACACCCAGATCACAGTAATGGTTGGAAACTTCCATTGAAATTCCTTTTTTTTTTTCAAAAAGAAGATACAATACTCCACCCTATTGTACTGCAGAAATTAAGGCACGGAATGATATTGTGATATTGTGCTTTCACAAATATTATTTCTTGCCAACAAATAATCTGTTGCTCAAGACCACAAAATCCAGCCCAGCAAATGAACAATTTCATTCTAGTCTAAATATAATAATAATAATAATAATAATACTATCATCTTACACTTATATGGTGCTTTTCTGGACACTCCAATCAAAGTGCTTTACAGGTAATGGGGACTCTCCTCCACCACCACCAATGTGTAGCATCCACCTGGATGATGCGACGGCAGCCATAGTGCGCCAGAACGCTCACAACACATCAGCTATCAGTGGGGATGAGAGCAGAGTAATGAAGCCAATTCATAGATCTTAAAGAACACCAAAGTCACTTCTTATCAAGAAAAGCAGCAAAAAAATAAATTGCCTGTTCCTTTAGATGTCAGTGAAGGGATCAAATGACTGCAGAACAAACTTGTACTCCTTCTCCCTATGACAGCAGCTCACAGCTCATCAGATTGACGTAGCATCTCGGAGTAAGTTACCTGTGTGTGAATGGCAGTGCGTTCTGTGTGGGTTCTGCCCTTGGTTCTGAGTTCTGGGTCACATCGGGAGTGGCCCGCTCATCGTCTGTGCCGTTTATGCTTTCTGGAGTCAGGGGTGACTGGATATCGCCGGCCGCTGATTCCTGTCAACCACACATGACAACATGGCTGTTTGAGACCGCAATGGACAAAAATGTAATGACCTTTGAAAAATTCTCAAGCACTCCACAGTTGTACGGTAACCATATATAAGAAGGAAGAGCTTTCAGTCTTGTTAGGTCCATTCATTTGAATAGTGAAAACATGAAAATAACATCTATTACCTATACATTAAATCCATATCTTTTGGTGTGTAATGCATACTGGCCAGTATTCTGTTTAAACCCAGATTCCACAAAAACACAGCATATACAGTATGTGTTGAATATAGAAATTATATCGAATAAAAAATATACAGAACTTCACTTGAATTAATTTAAAGCAAATACTGTAATAATGCTAAGTATGGTTTTTATTCTCCTAATAATTCCATTTTGGTAGACAACCTTTACATCCATACACTCTGTGAAATGCTACAAAAAAGCACAGATGCTGCAGTACAGCTGTAACCAGCTTATGTTTTGAAGAGGGGAGATTAACAAGATTTGTTCATTATCAACAGATGTATGATTAAAACCATAAAACTGCCTTTGTAATTTCATTGAAAAAAAGTTAAGTCATCTGTTAATGGCAGATTTACTGCTAGATGCGTTCTGAACAGATTTTGTCTAAAATAGTTTGGGATGCATTTTCCACATTTATTTTAAATTTGTTTGAATTTGCTTGTGATATGGCTATTAAAGTAGCTAGAAAGGTTTTGTTTGTGATCACTGATTCCTTATCAACAAAAGGGAATTAGGCTCATAGTACTGTTTACCTTAAATTGAAGAAACAAGAGAATCAATTTAATACAACTAGATTTTGTCAGTAGTATCATATTGTAGTTCTCTTGCCAAAACAAAACCCTGAAATTATTTTACAACACAAATACCACTGAAGATTTTCTGAATTTGTTTAAATGCACATGGACAGATTATTTTATTTCAAAATCCTTTCCAACTTTCTCTCATTATGCAGTAGTTGTCATATTATAATTACAAACAAATTCTAAAAGCATAATTATGTAGTCTGTACATGTAGTCTGTTTTTCAATTAATTGTCACTTTATACTGTAAGTCATAAAATGTTTTTTTTTATGCACAGCATTGCAAAATGTTCTAGTCTGTTTTTAACACTTTTTTCTCCACATCCACATTCTGTGCTGCTAAACTTGCATCTGTGAACCTCAAAAAGTACAGTTCTTTCACAAATTGTAGACATTTGGAGAAGAAACCCATCCATATCAATAAAAAAAAAACAATTTGGGATTACAAACATACAGTAATGTACCCCTGTGGCCATGAAAGGTGTTTTTGAGGCTCATGAACCTACCTGGGAAGGAGTGCTGGTCAGCTCCATTTTTTCTTGAGATTTCTCCTTTGCTAACCGAGCAGCTTCTTTAAACTCTGCAAATTTTTCTGCAAACTGAAAACAAAACAATTTCAACTACATTTGATGTAGCGACTAAAGAACCTAATGACACTAGTCAAAGGGACTGAAAACCCACTTTAAAAGCAGTGTAGTGACTCAAAAAGAAAGACGGATGTTGTTTTTGTTGATTTCTCAGAAGGAACAGTATTACAAGAACAGAGAATATGGCAGCTTACCACGGCATGTGTGCCTACAGGGAAATATCTTTTTTCCTTATACAGTTGTAGAATCATCTCAGTATAAATGTGAAAATTTACACTGAGTCTTTTACAGGTTTGACTTCTGATGTGAATATACTTTGCCTCGACCTCGAGGTTGACACTGAAAGAAGATATGCCCTTCTGTCAGCACAAAACTTTTGTCGAATTGCACTTCAGTTTATCCATATTACCATCTGGGATGTTATGTAATAGTACTGTAAATGTGTTGATGGGCAAAACGCACTAAACACAAAAACTACTGATCTTTCAGGGGTGAATCACACATCTAGTACTGCAGCAAATGGCACCCTGATTAAACGCTAGTCTCTGTAAGTCAGATTTTAGAGAAAAAAGCTTTCTCCCATTGTAAATTGAACAGCAGTATTAATCAGTTACTGTATATATTTTAATGCTGTTTGTGAAGATTGTGTTCAAATTAATTTAAATGAATCAAAATTGTACATTCAGTGCTTTACCTACTGTATATACAGTACAGCATGCAGTATGTATACATTGTGCTATTCACAAAATGGAGTTAAACTTGACTCTCTCATGAAAAACTGTAGTGTAATGTTAGGTTGTTAGCTTATGCTCCTTTGCCCAGAGAAAGAGTTGTTAGATCACAAAGTATTTGCCTAGGGCATTTTTAGATTCTGCTACACACCAGAGCCTAAACATAAAGCTAAAACAGCTGTTTATATCACTTAATTATACTCTGAAGAGTTAGCAAAGAAAAAAAATACAGAGAGTTTCACAGTCCTCTGTTAATGTTCATTAACTCCTTAAGTGCTTTACTAGAATAATTAGTGGTTAGATAATGTTAGCCTCTTCTAGACCAAAATAGCAGTGAAACAGATTCTGCTTAAATACTTAATACAATAAAATGTCTACTATACCAGAACTCCAAAAATGTTTAACCTATCATAACATACAGTATAGTGGAATTAGAATAATACTTCACTCTATACAGTAATAAAACTACTATAACATCCTTTGTTGTCTGATTCATTAGGATATTTGACAAACAATCCATAAAATATTCTTGGATACATATTTTACTGTACTGTACAAGTATATGTAGAAAATGAACCTGGTAAATGGGGTCCTCATGTTGTGGGATTTTTAAATGTTTCCCTCTGTTTGAAAATTGTCTTGGGAAAGTGTAAGAGTTTTCCTTAAATCTGAGACTGTTTCTTTGAAATAATTTTATACTGTAAACTTTAACATTCAGTAGGTAAATTCCATATTTTATGTACATTTACAGTATGTAGTCTGGACAAAATATAGCATTTGTTAGAACTCTACATCAAAATGTTTAATCTGACAATTCTACATAGATGTGGCACGCGTGTAATCCATCCTGTTGGTCAGTTGATGTCTTTCTATCGTACATATCTGTCCATTTCTAGGAGACATAAGAATAAGATAATGCAGTTTACTGCCTCCAAATGCTGTATTTGTTAATTGTGATGCAAAAAATGTACCACATAATATTAAGCTACCCACAGAGATGAATCACACAAAAAGTGAAAGGTGTAGGAGTTCCCTACAGCTCAGTGATCATAGCAAAAACCACCCACCTTCACAAGATGGTGCTCTGAGGAGAATCCCAGGCCATAGACAGTATTAGCTCTGCTGTCTGCCCACTGCCCAAACTTCTGTGATGTCTTTGTGAAGGTCATATTGGGAGTGATGGTGCTGTTTATTATTGCCTATAAATTAAAAATATATATATTTCTCCATGTTAAAATGTTTGCAAGTAAACATTTTAAAAACAATCATGTCTTATATGAAGAGATGTTTTTTTTCTCAGTCTGTGCTTAACTTTCAAATTGAAACTTGAAACAATTTTAATAACAAAACTGTGCAGCAAATATATACCAGTGAAACAGATTTAAAACTTCCTGAATGCTTTATGTATATTGCAGAGCTCTAAAATAATAACAAATATCACTTGTAAAATATTTGTGCATCTGGATTCACTTAAAAGTAAGACAAAACATCAGATTTTCTGAACATTTGTAGGCATTCACTTGCTCTTTCTGAAAGAGCAGCACCAAAAAAAGCACAATTGGTGAGATTTGATGAATCAAAAGCAACATATCAATGCAAAATGGAGTCCTACAACATATTTATTTGCTTCTGTTTAAAAGTTGAGTCTTGGACTAAAAAGTTGTTTGTTTTGTGATTACAATTTGTAGTTTTACAAAGCCCACTTCAAATGAAACACTCTTAACTCCAAAGCCTATGAAATACTGTACATAATTGGTTAAACAAAGCATGTGAATTTTGGTTTTGTTCTGCAGTAATCAAATAACGGGAGATAAAGTGCTAAGGTATTGTGCATTACTTTTCTGCTCAGTGGGAAATGTAATTCTCTGTCAACTGAAGTGACTTGATTTATGGCACATACAGATTGAACAGTCACAGAGAGGCATCTGTGAATATTAAAACCTAGCCAAGAATGCATGACGTGGGGAAAGTAATGAAGTTACGTAGTCAGGCTAATTCAGTGCTTATGGGTTTTTCAGGAAAGTTAGAGGGAACAGTCAACAGTTCAGCAATTAACATCAATTTTATTTACTTCACAGCTGTGTGAACCCCTTGTAAATTATATACTGTATTTGAAAAAGAAGTTAATACTGTAGCTCTATTCTCATAAGTTTAACAGTTAGTTCATCAGAGGGAATGGAAGCAATAATGCACAGGAAAAAAATCCTCGATTTCAAAGCTCATTAATTAGTAATATACAGTACAGTATATGCATTATTACGGAAACGCATTGCTGCCACCAAGGGAAAAAGCATTCGCACCCTTATCGCGTAATAACGAGAAATGTATCTCGTAATCAAGAGAAACGCATCTCGTAATTACGAGATAGCAATGATTACTTCAGTGTATGTACAACCTGTTATGATGTGCACTCAACGCATCTAGAAGCTACTGTGAACTTGGCTGGCACTTTCAGTCCAATGGTCTTGTCAATGTCCAGTGCTGCAGCTTTTGTACGGATTTTCTTTTGACTAGGGTTTAGTCATAATAAAATCTTGCAATGTTTAGCAAATATGAACAGAATCATTATAATCATGAGGACCACTTTTGTATGATTTAGAGATCAAAGCAATGATGGTGCCGTTATGAACAGTTACACATGCAATCAGTCCCACTGCTTAAAACTGTATGTCTGCACATAGCGATATAGTAGTTCAGATGGGCAGCTACGTCAGCAAGCGTAGGCTGCAAAGGAACAAGTATAGGTTTATTCCAGTGAGGTGGTTTTCATCGTTTGTGTTGTCTGTAGGGGGGCCAACTTCACAGAGCTGTTTATTCCATGCTGGAGCCTTCTTCGGGTGTAGGCTCCACAGCTGAAATGTTGTGTTTTCTTTCTTCTCTTTTCAGCATGGAATAAACCTATTACTTGTGCCGATATACAGTAGGTGCTATACAGTATGACAATTATGCTATTGGGTGATCACATAAAGTACGCAAGAATTACAATCTTGTACAGTAATTTCGAGATCATTTTCTCGGAATTACGTGATAAGGGCAAGGATTTTTTTTCCTTGCTGCCTGCAATGCGCTTCTGTACATTCTAAAGTGCTGTGCAACATTCTTAGCCCGAATGAGGAATCTCAATAAACGCATCCTGAGGAGACCAGCAATTTACTTAACACTTCTGTTGATGTCTTCTTGTTATCATTACTTACATTTGTTATTGATACATTGTGTTTTATCTGAAAACATAAGAATACAAGAAGGGTTACATACGAGTGGAGGCCATTTGGCTAATCGAGCTTATTTTGAAGTTAGTAGCTAGCTGATTGTTTCTTGAAAGACTAGGGTTTTGCCACTGTAGTACCGAAACAACATTTTATGATTTATTTCTGCCTCCATTGCAATAATGTTTGGTCTTTCTAATATCCCTTTTCACCAATGTGCAATTCATTGGACTCCTTGTCTTTAACCGGGTTCTGCTGTTTTCTTAATCATTTTCTGAAGTACTTTTCCCCTTATATTTTTTTCAAATTGATTTGTTGAGCCATTTGAGGGACTTTCGCTATAGATTCATTCACTTTTGAGCTGTTTGTGTTTCAAAAGAATCTGTTTAAACTGTTCTCCTTAAACTGCCTTACGAATTCAAGCAGAAATCAATCTTGTCATTAAGCCATTTTACATGACATTTTGTTGACACCAGAACAAGGTAAAGAATACATAATAAGTGGACAAGACATGCAAAAGGTAATCAATCACACTTCCCAGTCACATCTAATGATTCATTGTAAAGTGTTAAAAAAACTAGGATAAATAATAAAAAAGCAAAAGACAGCACAGTATCAATACCTTTCCAGCTTAGTTATCTCATTATTTGAACAATCATGATATACTTATAAAATCGCTTTAAGAAAACAGATGACAACAGTTTGAAATTCAGATTTTGTTTAAAATGAGAATGCTCTTTCATTAAATACTATCTGTTTGGGGGAAAAAACACCAAAAGCAGTCTCACATAACGCATTTGCATTTCATGTAGTCACCTTACATTCAAAGATACTGATTTCCATGACATGTTCTCTAATCATCTATTCAAGAATTCACAATTTTCCAGGATGCAAGGGAAACACCATTGTTTGCAAAATTGCAACACATTACATTACTTGTAACACACAGTCATGGTCTTTAATGCTCTTAAAACGACTGGATTCACCAGATGAATATAGGAATGAAAAGAAATAGGATCTGTGCCGGACAAGCTTGATAAGCCTCCTGCCATATGTTCATTCTAACCCTGCTGGACAGGAGGGTGGGAGGGACTCACTTGGTTTAAAATCACCACTTACACCAAATCTCATTTTGAATAAGGAATCTCATTTAGAATTCCTGATGGATATCCTTTTTATTTAAAAAAATTGCAAGTTGAAATCGAAATTCTTGACATTTGAAGCCAATCTGTAAAAAACAAAGAGAGGGAAGCTTTCGTCCTCATCTTGAAACAGATGTCAATGACACGGGACAGTGTGGAAAACCTTAGGCACTCTGTTGTACTTCTCTATGACACTTTGCAGCTGAATGGGTGCAATTAATTGAGTTCACGGGAGGCCAGCTGCTAAGGCAGGGGGCCAGGGGAAAATTGATTTGAATTAACAAGCATCTCAAACTGGTGACGATTCAGCTTTTATAAGGGGCTGCTTCTCACATAACCATGTGTACAGATATTGTGGTTCCATCCACAATAGGAATTTTAACAGCATCTTTGATCTTACAGTACATGTTGCTACTACAACATGAATCTGAGGGACACTCTCCACCCACCCTCTTCTCACATCCTTGTGTGGTTTCCCTCTTCACTACCACAAAGCTATACCAGACAAAAAGAGAATGATGTTCATCCAGGTGGTTACTGCTATTGAGTCGTCCCTGTGTTTTGTTTTCAAGCCTTCCAGTTTGTTCCCTTTATTCCCACAGAATAGAGCTTTGTGTTGTTCGTGATGATAGTGGGCAGGAGGCTCAGCAGAGGAGTTTGTTGGAAACTGCTTTTCGGCGGAGCCCACGGATTTATTGATTTGTAAAAAGGAAATGATCAATGGAGGCACAACTCTGTGCTTCTGCTTACATCATACGGCCATTGATTTAAAGAGGGAACTAAGAGGTGGGTGTATTAGGCCAACTGCTGCTTTAGCACTTCAGACAGAGGGATAGCTTCTGCATTTATAGGACTAAATGGATGATTTCAATGGTCAGGCTTGGCCAGGGCTGGGCTCATATGGAGATAAGGAACAGTTTTGACTACAATATTTCTGTAATAATGGGCTTATTAGATCATGTACTGTACAGATCAGGGGTTGTTAACATTCAATTCTAACTGATCTACAGTACAGCTATAAAGTATTGCTTTATTAAAGACCTCAAGTACTTCTCTGCATTATATAAATAGGGGCACAAATGTGAAAAGACACTGTTAGGGAGTCAAAAAATAATATAATCAAAGCGTACAATATAAACCTAAAAAGGCAAAAGACACACAGTGACTAATTTCTGAGTTCAGTTTTGTGTTGCTTCAGTCAAACATTGCATGAGTAATATTAGAATTTAATAAACGAATATAATATATGAATTCAAATTCCACCAATCCTGCTGCATTATATTCTTTGAAAGCCAATTCTTTTATTGTAAGTTTATCAATTGTACCTTACTTTCTGCCCTAGTAATATGAACAATGAATATATATAATGACTGTAAATATGTGCGTTTATATAAAGAACCACTCCTGAGATTAAAAATGAAAAAAACATATAAATTACTCTGCAAAAGTATTGATACATTTTGCACTGTTATTTTCAGTCAACTATTTTCAGTCAATTCTGTTGGTGATCTATTGTTAGTTTTGTTGTTTAAAGATGACAGATTTATACATTATTCTGTATAAAGGTACCGTAGCCTTCAGCTTCGTGGATTTATAAAGAGGGACAAAAACATGTGTTAAAGATGAAGAACACTTGACAACAAATCAAATGGATTTGATTAGTAAATGATAACTTACCACAACACTTAATATTGTCTGCTCGTGTGTAGTTTACCTTGTGAATCTGATTGTTGTGAATTACAATGACTGCAGAGTGACAAGTGTGGCTTCTTTTCAGCCAAGGAAAGCTGTAGTAATAGCAGTCTAAGTGGTAATATTAATAGAAAACACTTGTGGATGTTTTGAGTAAAT